ATGCTGTTCCAACCCCGTAAGACCTTCGTTCATCTTCGGAACACAAATAAAGATATTTTTGATTGAATCTGAGAGCTGGATCAGTCCTACATAGACTGCCTAAGGGACTGGCTCTTGACGGCCCATAAAGTCATTAAAGAAAAGGTTTAAATATTCCATGTGCCTACAGCGGCTCAATTATAAGTTTATCAAGCGACGAGAATACTTTTTGTGCGAAAAAAACATAAATAACGACTTTATTCCACTATTCCATTACTTCCTTCTTGGCGCATGCGCGAGAACTGAGACGAGGACGTTCTCCTTCGTCTACTTCTTGTTACCGGCTGCTCACCGCTTAGGAGTTTTACCGCCACCTACCGTATAAGATGATGTGCTGATATAGCTGGAAGCGCAAAACTTTCTGTTTACAAGCAGAGGAAGATGCGCGCTGTGCACTTAAAAGCCTTTAATCTTCTCAAAAAACGACAGTGTTCCTTATAATCCGGAGCGCCTTATATATGGATCATCATTTTATACGGTAGGTGGCGGTAAAACTCCTAAGCGGTGAGCAGCCGGTAACAAGAAGTAGACGAAGGAGAACGTCCTCGTCTCAGTTCTCGCGCATGCGCCCATAAGGAAGTAATGAAATAGTGGAATAAAGTCGTTATTTATGTTTTTTTCGCACAAAAAGTAGTCTCGTCGCTTGATAAACTTATAATTGAGCCGCTGTAGGCACATGGAATATTTAAACCTTTTCTTTAATGACTTTATGGGCCGTCAAGAGCCAGTCCCTTAGGCAGTCTATATAGGACTGATCTAGCTCTCAGATTCAATCAAAAATATCTTTATTTGTGTTCCGAAGATGAACGAAGGTCTTAGGTTGGAACAGCATGGGGGTGAGTAATTAATGACTTAATTTTCATTTCTGGGTGAACTAACCCTTTAAGCATCAGTTTATGTTTTCAAGATATTAAATTGTTCGTTTTATTTCCAATAACATGCACCAATGAATCAGACCAATTAATTCATGTTGACGCATGCCATATATTGCTTTCTGTTTTCTAAATGTGAAAACTATTTCAACGACACTTGCGTTATTGCACGGCTCCTCTGCAAAAGTAATGGGAATTTTCACACGAATAGCACCTGATTATAATACGCAAACCTGCCGTCTGCAACGCCCCGAAGAACAGCGGGGAACTAAGAGCAGAGCATTTTCATGCTTTTAAAGAGAAGCCAAAAAATGACCGTGATGTGGAAGCACATTAGGCTTGTCCAGCGCGCCCCCAAACCCCCATCTGAGCGGCAGCAGGGTTTGAGGAAGGCTGTTCTAGTTAAGGCACTTGTAGATGCTGAGAGCCTCTTATTCCCTTTCAGACCAACATAAGAGAACGCATTCTAAGACCCGCAGAACGCACTCCACCGGTCCCACGATGTCAGGAAATCTCAGCTACTAATGCTCAAATTTACCATTTTGAATCTGCATATGATTCATCTTGCGCGACATATTCCAGTGTAATTCATCAGATTTCAGACTCAGGAGGTATGCTGTGGCGAGGACATTAAAGGGAACAGCTTGAACAGACGTAAAGCAGGATGTGTTATTTGTGCTTCTCGCACAAAAGCTGAGAGGGGGGTCGAGGCAGGCTTTTACGTGCCCGGAGACGACACAATAGAAAACCTGCAGATCCCATTCGTGAAAAACAAGAGAGAGGACGAGTGTGTTCAGTTCACAATGTTCAGAGCAAATGGAGCTCACCCGGTTCAGTTCATCTGCAATAATGAGGTGCTGTGCGTTTAAGACAGAGGCTTATATAATCAACTCCTAATGACTAGAAAATATGGCCTATAACCTGCATTATAATGCAGAGTAATTCCCAGCAACCCATGCATGTGATGCTATGGACATATGCGTATCATTTCCCTGTTGTCAGTCTTTATTACATTATTACGCTGTGCAGTTTTCTCTCTCGTTCGTGGAGCGCATCTTTGCTCTGTAAACATATGGATTCCTGCAACACTGAACATCTGTAATCACATCATATCAGCACAATCAATCACTAACTGAGGACAGCAATTCATCACTCGGGACTTTGTCATTCGAATTGCTTAAAACGCAATTATTTGCAGTTGTGCTTTTTATTGAGTCAAAGAGAAACAAAGACGTCAAAATAATGGAAATGAAACATTTTAAATGTTAAAATGTCACAGGTGTAACATTCAGATATGTATTTGTTAAAGTTTTAATATGCTTGTTATGAGTCTACAAATCTTCAAAAAAATCACAATTAAGAGCTAGTCATATAAATAAAACAATATTTTTTTACTTGATAATCAAATGAGATAAAAGCATAATGACAACTGTTTTCCTTATCAGATTTTACTAAAATAGGTTTCACATATTTTTATTTAACTAATTTAATTTATTTTTATTTCAGTTTTAGTTATTTATTTTCAGTTAATAATATTAGTGCTTCAACTTAAACTTATTTCAGTTTATAATTGCCAAATCAACATTTCAATATTTTTTAGTTTAACTTTTAAATTATATAATATCTTATTTTTAAATTATATAATATATTTGTTTTATTTTTTATATCAGTATATATATATATATATATATATATATATATATTAAATTCTGAAATACAAGCTTTATTTACAGTATAGAGAACAATCTGAATACAGAATTTCCTTAAAAAGTCCCAGTTTACCAATAACATCATTCTAATACACTAATAGCAAACTTTAAGTGTCAAGGATGCATAAAAATTGAATATGATAAATATTACAGGACTATCTGAATCACTAATGTGTCCCATTCCAAAGACAAAAACAAAACTATAACCTTATAACAATTCTGTAAAAAATATACCTCCCAAAGTGCTTACAAATCTGGTATGACAGCCTCTTATATGTCCGAAACATGAAAACCATGTATATCATAGGGTACTTAAAGCATTTTTTAGTGAAGCGAGAATTTACATGATATGATCAATATCATTGCACTGTCCCACTTTACTGCAATTCACCCTTAAAACAAAACTGCATCACTACGAATATTTAAATGAGATCATAAACCATAAAAATATATATGACAAACCAGCTCCACCACAATTAGTCCAGCATTTTAATAAGCTTTTTCTTCATTACAATCTCAGGCTGATAACACCTCCACACTTTAAACAAAACATAAGGCCACACTTTAGTTTAGGGTGTAATTATCACAATTAGCTACGACTTATCTCAAACTCCTAGTTCCTGCCAAATAATTAGTGAGGTAGTTGTTAAGTTTAGGTATTGGATGGATTTAGGGATGTGGATTTATGGCCATGCAGAATAAGGCATTATGTGCTTTACACTGTGTCCTAACTACACGCGACGCCGCGACACGTGATCTTTTCCATGTACGCGACGGCGACACGCGAAGTTTCTAATTTAGAAACGGTTCCTATTTCTGCGACGTCGCGGCTGACAGAATGAAGAAATTACACTGGTTATGAGTAGCTACACATTATTTATTTTTAGTTAAAAAATAGGTCACTGTGCCACAAGCAATAACGGATAATTTACCTCAGATTTTGAAAGCATATAATACAGCGTTCAAAATGAATTCTATGCAAACATACAACTTTACTTCATAACAAAATTAGTCAATGAGTATATTTCGTTAATGTTTTGATTTTTAATAATGTTATTTCTTGATTTGATTGTCCTTACCATAGACTGTAAAAAAAGATGGACGACGCCCCTCCGCTCTTTTCCATCGGAGAGAACTGTAGCCGCCAGTGTCTCGATATGACGCTGACATCTTGGGACCTGAGTCTGTGCACTTGCGTGTTTCGGGACCAGTCATGCGCAGTCGTGAGCAGGAAGTAAAGCCGCGAAATCAAGGCCGCGCCCTCCTTCGCGCTGAATCAAACGTAAGCACTCGCCCCGCACTTTCATTAAGTGTCCTCTGTCTGCTTCGTTCTTCTCCAATGATGTCTGCTGATTGCAGAACCTCGTTAAAATAAGGTAAATACAACTACTAACCACATAATCAACATTATGAAAAAAGTCCGCTGGTGCTTCAGTGACTACCTCGCACAGAGAACCTGTCAATCACAGCTGTCAATCATGATGTCAGAGCACCGTTTTTATCATCACATAACTAACTAAAAACAAACTTATTTTAAAAACGAGCACTTGAAATTACATCAACGTGATAGAAACTACAGTAAATGACAGAAACTATCTTTGGATAAAGGATATGTGAAGTGTAATTTAATTGTTTAGTTGGTCTCGCGTCCCATTGAATAACATGGGGAGGCGGGATTTATGAGCTATACTAGGAACGGTCACAGGGGGGCGATCGAGACGTTTTGGCTTCACTTTTGAGGGCTTGTGCGGCACGCTTGGTCCTTACTTACCCATTTCCAAAGCGATTACGGGCCAGCAGTGCGCTTTCACAGAGAGACTCCGCCCACAAGCTGTTCTGAATGGCTGTGATTTTTGATTGACGTGTGGCATCTCACAGTCGCGTCGCGTCTACTGTGGACAGACACGCTTGCTGTCGCTGGAATTTTATCGCGTCGCGTGTAGTTAGGACACGTGTCATGCAGTAAGTGCTAATAAACAGCCAATATACAACTAATATGCATGCTAATAAGCAAGTAAGCAAAAAATACACATTCTATAATGTTAAAAGGTTCATGAACAGAGACACATTCGAGTTATTGTATGTATGAAATTAATTTTAATGTATTTTTCCAGGCAAAACACCACATCATTGACCCACTTTATTCACCCAACATACAGTAGTCATCTCAAACTCACACATGAATGTATTTAAGTGGCTGTAGAAATGTTACATCTTTCAAATACACCTAGTCTAAATATACATCTCATCATATAATGACTGACAGCCTTTGAAAGATTTCCACAGACATCCTGTGGCCTGAAACGATGAACGCTTCTGCCAATTTGACAATATTAGGAATTCTGAAGTATGATTAGCTGAAATAAATAATTCTCAGACACTCAGTGAAGTAAGTTGATTTAATACAAGTTGTTAAATGTACATTCCGACTCAGATTTGGCATAAATTAACATTGGTTAAATATGAGACCTCAAAAGGTGTCAATGTTCACAGGAAGAATGATCCATATCTAACACACTTCAACAGACAAAATATCTATTTGATATGTGCGCTATATACAATGCTCTTCTCAGCACTTTGAGACAAAAATATTGCATTATTAATATGTACATACCCATAATAAAAACAAGAGTTCCAGATGACAAATCTTTTAAAATCTTTTGGATTGACCTTGATACGTGTGCGAATAAAGGCACGGCGTTGGCCCTGGTGTTTTCCGAGCTCAGCACGAGCAGTTCCCGCAGCCCTTCACGCTGTTCATGATCTCCTCCTGCAGTTTCTTGCGCTCCTCCTCTTTCTGGGACACGCGCTCGGCTACGGGCTCAGGCTTGCCTCCGTCAGACAGGATCCTGCTGTTTTGTGTGTTCCACAGGTCGGCGTACAGACTGCCCTGTGTGTTCAAGAGAGTCTGGTGGTCTCCACGCTCTGCCACCTTCCCCTGCGTCACACGGATGAGAAGAGAAACGACAGAGTCGGGTGAGAAACACAGGTGGAAATGTCCGGCAAGATCTCGATTACCACAGGATTAAACGGTCAACTCTCAGTTTGTAAAAAAAAAAAAAAAAAAAAAAAAAAAAAAAAAAAAAGGAGGGGATGATTTTCAGTTAATCATGACTTGAACTCTACAGGGACACACTTTTGGTTACGCATTGTTGATTACACTCCTGTGTGTGGAGTTTGTTTTATGTCACGTCTCTTTTTGGTATCCTTGTGAGTAGCGTTAAAGGCACAGTAGGCGTTTCTCAATGTCAAGGAAGGATCCTCGGAAGCCGGAATTTCGAGGATGCTACGTCATCGACGTCCGTCGAAGGACTGTTCCAATGTCAAGGATCCTCAGAATTTCAACCAAGGACTGAGTCCTTCGTTCGGAAAATATCCCATACACAGGAAAGGATGCATATGTGTAGCCTTCGCGCTCTTAAATCACCCACAATCCTATGCGCAGCTTTGCTATCTTGTTCAAAAAATAAAAAAATGTCGACCGTTAGCGGAGTCGGAGTGATAACGGCAATATGCTTTCAAATGTAAGCAAGTATAATTTCAGTTTAGCCATTTATTTAATGTTTGTTAAACTATTTGCATATCGGCTCAAATTTGCTTAGGGGATTTAAAGCTGTTCCCTTTTACTGGTGATTAACTTTTTAATTTTTACTTCATAGCCTTTTTTGTTGGTCACATATTTTACAATTGCATGTGTTTTAACAGCTAACGTTAGATCATGTTGCTATGGAGGTAGTTCTGTTAACTCCGGTAATATAATAGTTTTTGAATGAATAAACTCCTTTTTAAATCAATATTTTGTGTCAAATTATTGATTTATTTGGTAGGTAGCCATGTTATAAGTGGGAAAATGTATAGCGAGGCGGTTGTTACAGCGAATACAACCGGCTGATCAAGACCCCTCTGCTTTAGAGTTTGCGGGGTTGTATTCACTATAACAACCGCCTGGTTATACATTATCCCTTTATTTATTTATTTCTATGAGGACTGACAAGACAAAATAAAGACTGTCAAGTGTATTTAAACAGTGCAGTACACCAGCACAATGATTTTTGCAGCGCCGAAGCGGACCTTTCACTGATGTAATGACGCAATGACGTGCACTTGCTAGCCTGTTCCATTTACATGTTCTCCGAACGCTAAAGAGGACCCTTGCCTAGCCTCTGAAGGAAATGACTTGGAAGGACCCGTCCTGCCAAGGAAGTATCCTTGACATTGAGAAACACCTAGTATGTAAGTTTCACCGCTAACGGTCGCTATTCAAAACAATAACAAAGGAGTAGCTCGATCACACTGCGGTAGTAAATGCAACAGAAATAATAATAGTAATAGTCATTTCTACATGAAAGTTAGTTCAGGCAAGAATTCAAAACACAAAAGTAAATCCTAAATTTGTGCTTAATTCATCAATGATATAAAATTGAGCAAAACCCACTCAACTTTTCTAATACTGGTGTTCCCATCATGCACTGGAGCATGAATCATTGAAAAAGGTTGATTTTTCACTGTTTTCCAGCTGCATTTACACTGTTTTATCATAGTGTTTGTTGTTAGGTTTGGTAACTTGCCATTTTGAGAGATCTAGATTCATTTTCTACTCAAAATGACGCATTCATACGCAAACGATCTATCGATTGTTAGTCATTGTGTACCAAGTAGGTCTCTGTGTTCGAGTGCCATGTTACTTCTATTACGTAGATACAGTATGGAATCTATAGCTGTTGTATTATTCACTCAGATGTTTTGAAATAAAGCATACACTTTAAAAGTGTGGTTTAATTTAGTGTTACATTGAGTAAAAAGTTAATTTAATTAAGTTTAATTTAATTCACTTAGTTAAGTAGATGTTACTTCTCCATATGTGAAATTAAACATGATTAAACAATTACTTCTATTAAATAATAAATGTCAAATGAATGTTAAGTTCAATATTGAGTAGATTTACTTGACAATAACAGGTAAGTTGTACAGAGCAGTAAAGTTAACTTCAAATGTGTTATTGCAAATTGTTACGAGGATTTTAGTAAATCCTACAAGTTGTTTTTTTCAGTATGTTAATGAGCATGAAATTGAACAACAATTGTTGTTGTTATTCGAGCGGACTAAGCCACGAAATCATATTCATATAATTATGAGCTAATGTATGAGCTAATATGAGCTCGATTCGATTACGATTCAGAGGGCTGCTATTCAATGCTAAATCAATATCTGAATCTTTTTGTGTGTGAGTGCGACTATAAATGCTTTGCTTTAAAAGTACAAAGTAATGTCCCATAAAAAATTAACATATAATATATTTTAACATTGCAAAGAACCAACAGGAAAATAAACGTGTGCCTGAACTTGTAGCATACTTGTAGTAAATCAATAATATAACAACGACCGGTACAGCCGAGTGTTTTTCCTCCTCTGAGTGGAAACGCGTCATATGGCTTCTCATATTTGTCGTGTTTCTGTCTTTTTTTTTTTGAAAATCGATTTTTGACATTTGTGAATCGATTCAGAATAGTCCATGTCCACATCGCGATGAATCTAAGAATCGACCCCTAGTTTGAAGCAGGGTGAGGCCGAGAGCCGTGAGAGAGGAACGCGACACAGAGTCCCACAGAGGAGCTCTGGAAGGATATGAGGAGGAGTGATGACAGTGAAGGGTGAGAGAGGACCAGGCCTGGGACATTTTACACTGATGTTTTTATTACGCTTATGACAGAGTTGGACTCTGCCACTCCTTTCTTTGTGGTGTTTGTGTTTATATGGATAAAATACTGTATGGTTCATGTAGCTTGTCTGCAAACCATTAGCATATACCATTTACATTTAACATTTGCTGGTTCCTGCCTCCTTCCCTTAACAGTTTTGCCACAGTTACTTTGAAAAAGTAACCAAGTTATTTTACAAGTTACTTGATTTTTAAAGTAACTAAGTTACTTTACAAGTTTCTTGATTTTAAAAGTAACTAAGTTACTTTACAAGTTACTTTTATTAGTTACATTCAGCAGTTGCCGACAACACACCCTCAACATAACGACCTCAACATAAAAATGATAACCGGTTTTGCCAACATTCACTTTATTGGAAGTGTATTTTACAACAGTCTTAAGTCTTTCTTGACTTAACTTAATATAAATACTCGTTTAAATAAAAAAAAAAAAGAATAGTCTTTCTTCACCTCACTTAACATAAATACTTTTTTTTTTTTTAATAAAAAATAAAATAAAGACAGCCTTTCTTGACTTCACTTAACATAAATACCTGTCTTTATAAAAATGTAAAATATAGTCTATAAATTTCTTGACCTGACATATTTAACAGTTAACACTGTGACAAAACTTACTATTTATAATCTACATTTTTTATTTTTTTATCTTTATTTTTTTTATCTTATGTTTAATCCCATGTTATGAGTTAAACAGTGGAGAGAGGCGAGTAAACCAGTGGTTGTACATCATTAACAGAACTTATCAAACCTCTCGGGCTGATTACTGGTTTCGAAATAGTAACGCGTTATATTACTCGTTACTGAAAAAGGGGTCAAATTAGAATAACGCGTTACTTAGTAACGCGTTACCGGCATCACTGTCCCTTAACTTGAACTTTGTCAGTTATGTTTGATCACATGAATTCACATTCGTTTATTTCACTCTAATAAAACAGCTGCAAGTGCTGAATTACTACCAGAGCCCGTCTACGGAGAGCCTCGGCACTTCCTATTAGCCCTATTGTATATCATCTTGGTTGCAGTTCCATTAGAATTCCACTGGAGGTGATCGCGGGCGAGAGCAGAATGAATGGGAGTCTATGGGGGCTAAACGGCTAAATGCGTCTTTCACCTGCTTGTCGTTAAATCAACGTAGATTTTATTGTTGATTCCGCAAGTTCAATATAGATTCTAGACCAAAAGTCGAATGAACGAGTACTTATGTCCTTTTGATTTCTTACAGGTTAGCTAGCATTCTGCTATTGTGTGACGTCGTCACATTTTTGAGCGGATTTTTAGAGCAGATAAGTGAACTTAAAAATGCAATTTTCAGCTGAGTGTATTATCTTAGGCCCCCCTTTTGAATGCAACTTTCAAATTACTTGACAAAAAATTACATCCTGAGAGAAGTGGATTTCTGGGGGTGAAACCCCATTGACTCCCATTCATTCTGCACTCGACCGCGAGCGCCCCCGCATGGACAGAGACGTGTTACTGCAGCCAGTCCAGAAACCGGAAGTAACCAGCCAGTGCCAATTCTCTTCAATTAGACATTCTCTGTTACTACTCATACAGGTCACTTTATCTGATGAAGTAAATTACTGGGGTAATGCTCTTTGTCGCCATCTCTGTTCGAAATCTGCAATTGCAGCTGTTCACGGAATTTTCAACTCTACGTGGGTTGAGCCTCGGCACGGCACAGCATGGATAAACACGTTTTAAGGAGAACGTGCAGCTGTCAGTCGCCGCACCGGCATTCACATTTACAGATTCTACGTTTTGGAAGTATGACCAACGTAAGAATTTTCACCGGAAAATGTCATCTGAATAAGTAACATCCACTTTTGTTTTGACCAACTAAGGGAAAAAAAAGCATTGCAGTTAATCGTGCTGATTAAATCTAACGATCGCTTTTATCACAGCAGTGGGCGTTTACTTCCAAGTCTTCAGTGCAAGATGCCCATAAAAACTGAGTGGCTCAAAACTAGGGTACAAAATAGCCTATAACTTATTCATTTTGATGTTTTTGAATGCAAAAACCAAGCGAACGTCAAAAGTTGACCTCGTACAACAATATAATAAAATTTAAAAAGCCAGTTTAAAAAAATACTGTAATTTTTGTCTTTTTGCTTGTAAAAGTCTCCTCATACATCTTTATTAAGAAAAAACAAAACAAATGTTTTTTTTTTTTATTTGTGCTCTTAAAATTATGTATGCGCTTCCTTTTTTTAAATAACACA